ACTCAAGACATCTTTACAACTAAATCTCACTTGTTCATCACTCCACAATGTTCATGCTTTGGATCTCACACTTCTTGAAGAAAATGGACAATTAATAATTTGCACATGGACAGCAATTACAGAAAACAGCAAAATTAAGGAGCATTTAAAAAAATTTGGAAACATTGAAAAGGCAAATGTTGAGATTTCTCATACCAAGGAACATGTTAATGAACTAGACTCTGTTTTGAAAATAACAGTAGCTTTCTACCATTTTAAAAAAATAGTAATCAGATTCAATATTTTAGAAATAAATTCTATAGAATATATTCTCTGAGTTAATTCTAGTTTTCCTAAGTATTTTACATCAAACGGTCTGCAAACATAATAACGTAGATGATAGAATTACTCTTTATCCCCAGTGGGAAAGTGTAATACCTCTGAACACTTTAAGGAGTTCCCATATCCTCCTCTTTTGTCCCTGTTCCCAACTGCTTCAGGAAAGTAAACAACTGGCATAATGAACACAAGTTTACACAACTCATGAGCTAGAACATGGGAATTTCTATGTACCGAATGCCTTTTAAAACGATTATCATGGGTGTCTCTTGCTTTAGCTCTGAGTAAGGGCACCTCCTTCGCTACAGGAGCAGCCTAGACAAGGAGTTTCAACGAAGAGAATTCAGCTGGCAAAAGAAGACAACGTGCAGGGGGACAAGACTGTCTGTTGCTGCCAAGTGTGATGTTGCAGGCAAACTACAATCTTGCTGTTCAAATGTTAAGCACTCAACAGGTAAATGTTGTATATTCAACACAGCTTTTATTCTAATTTTCACTGTGAAATTTATTGTTAAACTTCTGCTCATTAATCTGGTCCATGGAAATAAGAGCTTGCTTTTGCATTTATCATGTTAGTGATAAAATTTCTATTCACTTCTAAGCTGGATTGAGCTTTATTGGGAAAGTGACTTAGTTTGCAGTATGAAAATTTAGTTATGAAAAAAGGATAAAAATGGTATTTTGCCTGTTCTATAGAATTATTTTTTATCACAGTATCTCCAAGTACCTCACAAAACAGAGCATAGAGAATGGAAGTGACACAGTGGGAGAAAGGCAAAGCTAACAGAACCCAGGTCTCCTCTGTCTGAGCCCAATACCCTCTATGCACTATATCACATTTCTATCAAAGTCAGGAACATCTGAAATATTAAAAAAACATAATACATGTTTTCTTTTGCATAAAAATGTATGTATACTATCTTTAACAAACTAGCTGTGCTCTGTGAAGATATCCTCCCGATTGTGAGGCAGGGAATGCTACGTGATCAGTTAGTTAGAACATTTACTGAAATACAACACCCAGGTAAGAGTAGAAACTGGATCTGGATCAGTTAGCAATCCAGTGAGTAACACCACCATGAACACCACATGCAATTTCTGCAGAACTTAGACAAAAGGCAGGATCGAATTGTTAACTGACTCAGTTAGCAGATCAGTGAGCCGGCTGAACCGTATTTACAGCAAGTGACGGTTACTATGATAGTGTAATCAGTGGCCTTAAAGTAAATAAATGTCAACTCAAATTATGATTCACTAGCAGGAACTTAGGTAAATGAAAAAATAGTAAAACCTTACAAATCTAGAATTTTCTGATCCTAAATAGCATATAGCTCATCAAAGAATATTTAAAAAAAAAAAAAGGAAAGTAGTATTAGAAACTTTTACTGACCAGCTTTTAATTTTTTTAAGGATGTTCCAGTGGGCATGAGTTATAGCTCTTAGGAAACAATTACAATTGTTTCCTATTTTGCCAGAAAAGTTATGTGTAACATCAATTAAACCTTTATATATAAACTTTAACAATGCATTTTTCCCAAGAGAGGCAATGTTCACATTACAGGCAAAAAGGCATCCAGTTTTAGGTGCTGTTCCAGTGAAAATTCTGTTTTAACAGAGGGAAATGCCTTTGTTATGACTCATTTTTCTGAACTACGTGGTGTAATTGTAAACTATCTACCAATTTATTACCTGGCTTCTTAGGGCTGATTATCAGTAGCCAGGTATCTTGGGAAATAAAGCTGATACAGCTATCAGTAAACATTTCCACAAATGATACACTGTGTGGATACAGAACCAAATACTGCTTTTTTATCTTTTAGTAACATAATACTTTTAGCATGCAGAAATAAGCTTACCCAAAATGAAAGGACTGGTTATCAACATGAATATTAACCAACTGGGAAATGGGACACGTCCTATATTATTATATACTAGCTCAGAAAATAACACTAAAACATTTTCCATCCTATGATTTATTATTCCTTATATTGAGTAATTTTTTCTTGTGAACAAAACATGAAAGTCTAATCAAGGGGTGGGGAATCTTGACTCACCTACAGCATACTCTAGATTTCACAGTTAAATTAGCCTATCTGTTTTGGTCAGGGCTGTGACTTTTTTTATTATTTATTTTTACTCTAGTCAACTAGAAAAGGCCTTAGCTTTGTTATTTGCTGGTATGGAATTGTTTGGGGAAGAGGTTTAGCCTATATTGAAAAAAGAGGTTTCTGGGGTTTTTTCCTCAATATGAGTTTATCTCTGTTAGAAGGCTTGTTGATATCATTAGTACAGCTACCAGGAAATCTCCATGAATTATAAACAGACTTGACTTTGTAACTTGTTGGAAAGACTAAACAAGATTTGTTTACTTTATATCCTAAGCTCAAATCTTGATCACAAAACATCAGATGGGATCAAAAGACAGGTATAAACTATCTACATATCACCAGGTAGTTAAGAATACTTTTTCAACATAAATCTTTCTTTATTCTGCAGATTTTACTTTGTGACTCCCAGGAATTAGCTATTTTAAGCAAGGGAAAAAATAGTGTGGCGCAAGTCCTTTATATACAATGACTGCCTGCTCCACCCTATTATTACAAGCTATCGCTTGTTTTGCTGTGCTGCAAGCTTTAGAGAATTTAGCTGTATTCAACCCTGATGCCCCAATGACATGGAACATACACGTCTAAGTACTCAGAAATTTATACAAATGCTAATGTTAAGGAGGCCTGGGGTCTGCAGCCTGTGCCAATGGAAATATTAAATAACCATCATCTCAGTATTTCAAAGCTAGCTGAGATGTATTTTATAAAGTTAATAATTTACTGTGCTTGCTAATATTATTAAAGATATTTTTCATGTGAAAGCACAGGGGCCAAGAAAATAATTTCTTATTGCTCAGTAAGGGGGGTGAATAGTAAAACAAAATATTTCCCTTAACTCTGCCCTGAGAGAAATACCCTGGTAAAGTGTGCATGATCCTCCAGTAGCCAACACGCTCTGAGATTAAAAAGCTGCTACTGATTCACAGCTACTGTCCCAGCTCAAATATAAGGGATTTGTGCTTTTGGTGCTGGTGTTGAGTGAGAGTGCCAGATTTAAGCCTGCTGTTAATGCAAGGTGCCTATATACAAAGAGACTTGTTACATTTGCCCACAGAATATCTCGAACAATGTAACATTATTCTTAGATTCAGAATTTTTTTATGAACTAACATGTTTCTGTTAAAAATAAAGATGTGTATTTGCTATATGAAATTGGAAAATACATGCGCTTACCTGGCCTTTAGAGAAAGAGACTAGAGTGTTCTGTCACTCTAGAGGCAGAGGAACTGCTGTGCCAGATAACCAACATGACTGCACTTTCCCAGGAGATGGAATATGTTGCAGGTGTGGAATCCAGTCACTAGAGAACTAGGACTTTTCAATACAGTTCATATAAAACACGTAGGACTTCTTTTGGAAACATGAAAATAAAAAACCTTTCCAGCTACTACATGGAGTAAAAATATTTTGCTAATTTAGCATAAAATTGAGTAATCACTTTGCCCAGATTTGATATAAAAACAATTAAGTCAGCTTAGTTTTTTAAAAAGCATATTTTAAATCTGGCAGTTTTTCTACTGGAGTACTGTACATGATGTTTTAAAGAGCTTCTAACCAGAAGAGTCACTGTTACAGAGCTAAAATTTACACTGTGTTTACATGCATACCGTTAACCACCTAGATTTGACACAGATAAAAACTAAGATGCTGATCCTTATTTTGACAAGACAGGTCTACATTTCAACCCACTTGATGTATAATAAATATAATTTCTGTATTAAAGAACAAAAATGTTAAAAAACACATTTTGAAATCAAAATAAGGCAGTACAGAATTATCAGCGTAAAGAAAAGCAGGTTCCTATACCTCCTTTTCTAGAAGAAAGCAAGGCTGGTTAATTAAAGGTTGAGATATAGCAAGTATTTTAATTCCCATGTCATTTAAAAACAAATGGAGTACAAAGTAACAGATATCCATACGATGCACATGCTATTTTGCTTGCAAACTTTAGCAGATATAAAATTTCTGTAGCTGTTTCCTCACTGAATCTACTGGTTCCTAATTAGACCAAATGACTTTGTGAATGTGACATATGATCAGAAGTCCATATAAGCCAGGCTCATATTTCATAAAAACTGCTAAATATTTAGAAAATCTAGACCATTCCACATTTTTTCCCATGCTTCATTTAAACTTTGATCAGCAAGACTCTGCTTTTATAAATTACCTACTGGCATATTCATAAGCTGGCTTGGGAAAAACATACAGGTTTTGTTACAATGAATTTATTTTAAGATCTTACATACACCTCAGAGTCTGGAGCTATGGCATTTCTCCAAAATAATTCACAGTTCCCGCAGTTAATACAGTACTGCAAAATGGCACTAAAGTGCATAAGTATCTGAATGTTTGTTGGGCTAAAAAGGTGCTGTGCAAGCTTAAGCTACTGCTTTGCCATTATGTACAAGATCATTTTTTTTTGGGGGAGGGGGTACTAGTTCTGGAATAATGCCACTGATTCTAATTTTAATGGAGGATTGTCTACCTTTTGCCTTTCTAGAAAATGTAAATGCCCCCTTTCTGACTCTTCTGTTGGTCAAGAACAGTAAATGAGAAAATAATACACTCTTGAAATGCCTTTTTAGATAATTTACCAGAAATGGTCTTTTTTTTTTAAAAAAAAAGGCATGGGGGAGAATACGTGGTACTCCAGATGAAAACTGGACATGCTCTTTGTAACTAGCTATGGATCTTCTGCTCAAATGAACATGCTGTTCATTTTTACCAAAACATGAGTACTAAACTACCATAAATAAAATATATACAGTACAGAACAATTAAAACTTTTTTTGTACAGTAGTTACGTTTACATTAAACTTACCATCTTTTCAGATATGTTGAAAATTTGGACTCTAAACATGATTATTTCAAAGTATCATTTTTAACAATCTTGCACAGGCCCGACAATCAAAAACACGAAGCTTTGATTCAGATAGCTTGGCAGGTTTCACATACTTTGATAGGTAGGCTACTTTGAAATATGTTGGGCGTGTTTTTTTACTTACGCATTTTATTTTTATCAAAAGACAGTTTGATTATTTTTATTTAAATTTTTACATCAACTGTTTTTGTGCAATACCACTGCCAGTGTAGCTTGAGAAAACAAAGTGTGTCTGGAACATTGACTATAGTCCAAGTGTTGTCTACCTCTTAAAAAATTAAGATTCTAGGAAATCCAATGTGAGTGCATTTTAATACAGGAAGTCAGTCCTAGAATAATTTTAATATTAAACAGGTACCGTTTCTACCACTGGTGATTTGATGCACTCTTCGTGCAGTCTGCTCTTTTCTGGGAGGTTTAGTGAATTCTCAGCTGGGTGCTCTTGTACACGACTGTCGCCATTCAACGCTGAAACAAAGCCATCTTGAGAAGGACCTTTCAAGTATGAGTGAAATTCCACTGGAGGGTGGCTTGGCCTATGCTCAGTGTATAAACTGTTACATGGAGCAGTGCTATCACCTTCAGAAGATGAGCAGCAAACAATCACTGAGGGGTTTGCAGAAGGGTAATGAGGGCTGCTAAAAGTTTCCTCTGATTGCCGTGTGTAGTCAACAAACTGTTCTGAAGTCATGTTGTAAGGCACCAGAGAAAGACTACCATTCTTGACAGCGTCCCTTTCTGAGTAAGTCTCACCGATCGGGTTAGCAGTGCCAGCAACATGGTTCTCTATTTGGTAATACAGATTTGAAGAGTTAGTATAGTATGAGGCATTTTTAGAGTGGTTTTCATGCACAGCAGTTCCATCAGAGTAGCAAAGGACAGAAGGAAGAGGCACCATATCAGCATGGGAGCCCATGCTTTCTACAAAATCATCTGCTTTTTCTTCCTCATCATCTTCCTCATCATCTTCCTCCTCCTCTTCATCATCATCTGATTCACTAGGGGCTAAACTCTGTGTGCTAGAATCTGTAACCCCACTACAAAAGCTACTCCCATCTTCCTCTTCCTCCTCTTCCCCAGGGCAGTCCAAGTCCTCGGCTGCCTGAGAATGCATAACTGCAGCCGGAGGTTCTGTTTCAATCTCAAAATTTTCTGCAATTGAATATTCAACCGGGTGGGGTCCTGGACTCATAGAACTAGTGTGTGCGCTTATCTCATTGTGGCAGCCGTTTAGTGCTGGAACTTGCTGCTCTCTATTTTTCTCCAATTCAAGTTTCATTATTGTGTGCAAAAAGTGAGTCCGTACACGGATAGGATTAAATTCAATTCTACCTGCTGTATTGCTACACCCTTCTTTAGTGCAACCGCATGGAAAAGACATACGATCCACCTTTTAAAAAAAAGAATACAGATTAACAATACGTAGCATAAACCTGGTGATATAACAGAACCTAGAGAAATAGAATAGTGAAGTGTGATTTGCCTTGAGAAGTACTTTTAAGAACAGTTGAAGCTAACAATAACTCAGAGGGTGCACCCTGGAATTTAGCACTACTGATAGGAACAGTAAGGGACTCCATACGTTGCAGAGTAGGAAAAGTATGTTTCTGTTCCATACCTGAAAGTATTACACAGTGGAACAAAAAAATAGATAGTTTTTCTATTTATGGATCTGCTATGGCTTTACTTCACATTGTGCTCAAATCCAGGCAAAAGCATTACCAGAAGGCATCTTAACATTTGGTAAAAATCATGGAAACTAGAAACCTATTGGAACAAAATGAATTATATATATAAAAACTTTTATAAAGTTGCCAGTGGGGACACCTGACCACAGAAAGTAGGAATAAAAACTCAAGCACATTTTAAAAGATATTCCAGTCAATTGTCGATGCAATATTGTAAACTCAACAGGCTGTGGGCAGAACTCATACATCTAATAATAGCCATCTTACATTTCTAAAAATGTGACTGAATCCACAAGTCAGACAGTTCAATTAGCTTAAGGTCTATGATTTTCATTTACACTATAATACCTAAACGTATTCCCCACATGTGAAAATGAGAACAGGAACAGCAAAAAGAATGTATTATTTAAAATAGCAGAGAAAGTTTAGCTTGGATTTAAGAAATAATGAAAAATGCATTCAGGAAGAAATCAACTCAGCTGCATAACAGCGACTCAGGAGAATTAGTGGAAACATTTTAGGACATTTACAGCTGTACATAGGACACCATGCAAAGGTACAATACCAAATACCTTTTCAGTCTGCACAGGAAAAATTACCTGCTCTATTAGCAGATGTATTTTTATTGCCTACATGCAAATCTATCATGCATTCATTTTAAGTATCATGCATGTTAAATAATGGACGGTACCACAGAGGTGTCATTTATTGTTTCTCATTGAGTTTGGACTATAATTCACATTTGGGCAGTACGTGAATTGTCTCTAAAAGGTAATATCCCTTCTGAAATCTGCAGGCTACTGATTCTTCTGTTGTCTGCATCTGCATATTTAGATAAAGGCCAAAGAGGAATATAAGCAGAGTATTTGCATAACAACAACAACAAAAAAAACCCCAAACAAACAAAAAAAAAACCCAACCCTAAACAATGTATGCACCTAACCCAGTCATAAAAGTATTGCATGCTACGGTCTCTTAACTCTGGGCCTTAAAAAAACTGGTTTGAGATCCACAAGTGTTATTAATAATTAACATAATTAATTTCCAGTAGTTATAACTTTAACAACAAAAAGTACACATGTGTGCGCATGCACACACACACACACGCACACGCGCGCGCACACACACACCCCCCACGACAAAAACATAGACATTTACCTGACATTTTATGCCTGCAAGACTGCAAGTGCAAGTTTCTGGATCACAGAACACACGGCAGTCACAGCCACAATCCTCTCTGGACAGGCGGATGGCCCGCAGCTCGTGTTTTTCTTCCACATCAATCTTCTTCACTCCAGAAGCTCGCAGCAATGCCCTTCGCTTTTTTGTCGGCAGAGGTTGTAGAAAGAAGTACTCATCTACTTCAGTGTTGTCTAGATCAATATCATCATCAGAAATGTCATCCAGTGTCAGGGTATTAGCTTCTTCAGATTCCACTGTACCATTCTTTGTCATCTGTTGCATAGAACAATTAACATGTTAAGTCCTTAAACTATACTCACACTATATATGTATGTGTCATAGATGTAAATATGTGTAATGCATTATGAATGTGGAAAGCTGTATGTAAAAATGCTGCATGACTGCCGGTAAGTTCCAGAACATGAAAACAGATGGGGTGAAAAGGCAGTTCTTTCACATTTAACATGTGAATTAAATACACATTTTTAGTTTCATCTGTGTCATGAAGCTAATTTTTTTCAAAGTTTCTAATTTCTTATCTGTTCTTTATGTCCTTTATCATTTGTTGTTGTTTGCCAGATCTCATACCTTTCTAAAATTCTAGTCTTATTTATATTGTTTTATAATTAATTGATTCTAGTTCCTGTCTCTGGGCTCTTTGAAATTCTTCAATATCCCTTTTGAGATAATAATTATACTACCAACACCATTTCAGATTATGAAGCATCAGAGATTTGTAAAATAGTGTATTTCATGTACTATTCGCTATCCTCTTCCTCTTTAGCCTGACAAGTTGTTTGCTGTTTATACAGCTGAGGTCACAAAGCAGCATTCCCACTTAGGTGTCTGGACAGATGCCTATATTTTCTTCTTGAGTTGACAAATTTAAGCCTGGAAGTCACTTATTTTTGCCCTTTTCTAATCTGCATTACTTCATGTTTATCTGCAATGTGGTTCATAGCACTGATGCACATAGCTCTAATGAAGTTCTTTCTAGTCCTCTTTGGTCCTGAAAATAACCCGTTTAGCTTTGTGTTGTCATAGATTTTAGTACTTCACTAACCAGGCCAGATTATTTTTAGGTAGTTAACAAATGAATAAACATAGTAAAAAGGAAATAAGTTGTTAATGTCTTGTGGAGGATCTTGCGAAAAGTTTTGAGAGGATTCATGCTCCTTTCCTAGGGGCATGAATTTTTGAGCGTCTGTAGGTACAAGTATCCTGGCACTATATTATTACCTATGTATAGTCTAGCTCCCAAACCTTTCCAAAACTGTTTCAAAATTAAATGGCCACAAGCATCAAGCACAAACATCCAGTGCCACTTCATAAGATAGCACGCTTCTATACCATACTCCTGTAACTCATCTCATATAAACAGAGGTGTATATATTCAAGGAGAAAAGAAAAAAAAAATTACTGCACTGAAGGAAGGTTAATTTTCCCATCCATGGTAGAGCTCACTGGGCATAAATGCCAGGTAACACAACTACAGGGTTTATAAAAGTTGTTCTACAGAGAAAATTGCTTGAGAATCAAAAGCATCAAATGTTAAAACAAAGTTCAGAGAGATGATGACATTCACTAAAAAAAAAAAAAGGTATTTTCTCAATCTCAAGTTAGATTGAGCATCGTACTACACAGCAAACATGAAGCAAGTGCAGTTATAAGATTTGTTCTGTCATATAATAAATCCTTTTTCTTTTATTAATGTTCTATGAAATAATTTTGCTTAAAATAGAAAACCAACCAAACAAAAAAAACAGATTCCCAATGTTCACCCTGCTTTATGCAATGTTCTTAACTGATGAGGCTGCTGATTTACACTAGCCAAGCACCTGGTCTCTACTTTTGTGAAAAAACATGGTGCAACTATGTGGTAATTATACACTGGTGAAGTCTCAAGTCTCATTTGCATTAACAGTTTCATCATGGGCATCACCATGACCTCAGAAAAATGCCTCCCTGTGAATGTAATTTGAATATTTCTTACCTACAGAAAAATAGCCATTCAAATTCTTTCTCTGTTTTGCCTAATTTACTTGGAGAGAATTTCAGCTTGACCTGTTATCCCAAATTATGTTTTTAGACACCAGTTTTAAATACAGATAAAATACTGGTGTCCTTGTGCATTTCAAGGTTTAAACATTTAATAATTATCACTGTAAAAGTAACTCCCGATTTTTCTGCTACTAAATCATAGAATCATTTTGGTTCGAAAAAAATCCTGTCATCTCCATCTAGCTATGCTTCTTATATGTAAGAAAACAGTCCTGAATCTTACCCATTCCACTGGTTCTGCTTTTATTACATTTCCAACTGTTTCATTTTCCCATTTATATTAACAGCTTGTCCTTTCCACAAGCTTTTGGATTGTAACTGTCATTTATGGCATTATTGAATTACTCAACGGTGAACTCCTACTGACTGCTTCTTTGTAATTGCAGCTTTGTGTTTATAACAACTGAGACAATCAAGAAAAAAAACCCCTAAAAGTGAGGTTAAAGTACTCTTCCCTTTGAAGGAGAAGAATCACAGTGTCGTGACTAGTAGTCCTTATATACTGTGTATGTGTACACATTATACTGCACAAAGAAAAATTCTTCTGAGCTCGGTAATCATCCCTTCTTCACAATTCAGCACTGTATTTAGTTCACGCAGAGGTATTCTGCCACTTCCACACTCTGCTTTATAGGCATTATTGTTTCCTTCTCTTTTAACGTATTCTCAATCTTTCTCTGTAACTGCAGCCTTTGGAGTTTAGTGCCTGCGTTTTATTTTGCGTTTCAGTTTACTTACCAGGTCTGTTATCCCTGTAACATTCAAATCCCTTTATGCACATATACTTAAAGCTCCTTCTTCATCTTAAATGCACGGCTTTTCAAAATGTCCTCTCAAACTTCCTTCAGATTGCTTTCTTATTCTGTATTCTATTATTCATTTCACGCTACAGTGTCTGGGAAAAGAGGGGGTAATAGCTCCCTAATCAGTTCTGCCTGGCCCTGGGACAATGGCGAGACTATTTACAGCACGTATTTCAAGGTATTAGTTCAGTACAAGAACTAAGTTCAGGAAAGACAACATTAGATGTCATCCTTTTTTCTGTAAAATCTACAGTGAGACACAGGTAAATCCACAGAGTAATTAAATGCATCTTGAATTAGCTGTCTGAAGCTAGTGGGAGGGAATACTCTGCTGTATGTGCTGTATTTGCCTGAACGCTCAAATCCAGAATGGCATCCTTGATTATTTTTTTTTTATATTTTTCATTTTTTGTTAGCTAGGGACAACTAAGTACAGTGTATTTATGTTTCCTTGCTTTCTTCTTTTTTTTTTTTTTTTTTAATGTAATAGGAGAATGACCTACCTAAGAATTTGGATTTCTCTAGTTTTGAATACACAAGGCTCAAACCACTCCTTAAGCAGATCCCTTATCAGAATTTAAGCTTGAAACTGGGGAAGGGGAAGAATTCTAATCCCTGCTTCTGTAATTATTTTAGTATTTTATTCAATTACTATTTAAATAAAAATTAAGTTTTGGGGCTCTTACCCATGAGGTGAATGCTGTAACTGCTCAGTATACAAAGGCACCTATAGAACCATACCAAACCTGTCATGTATTTCTTCTCCTCCTGCAAATCTTAACTGCTTTGCTGCGCAGTGGTAGAGCACGAAGGAATGGACTCCAGTCATGTGCTGAAAGCTGTACGCATCCAGCTGGCTGGGAAGTCAGGCGCCTGGGCACCAAGTGGAATTAGACAGCAGTTTGCCATTTCAAGGCACTTCAGCTCCTGATTCCTTTGCTGGATGACTTCCTTCTTGTCTCCTCTGATTTTTTTTTCTCAATTTTGTTACACAAAGAACAAATGAATTAATGAAATCAAAGGTTTGAATATTTCTCAAACAAGTTGGGTAACTACAGAGGGAGGAAGATCATCAAGAACCATCAAATACATTTTCCAATACAGAACATCAGGGGAACACCAGGTTCTCTTGACTGTCATAATATTGCTCATCTGAAATAAACTTGCTATGTGGATGGGTACAATTTCTCTCATAGAGCTAAAGGTTAACATCCTAACAACAGAACAAGGCAATGAATATGCGAAGCCTTTGGGTGAAATTCACTTCAACTCTGTAAAATGTCAAAAATTTAGGTTAGACACTTTGCCTGTCCTAGCTGGAAATTATTCCTTACAATTTCCCACAAAGGAAACCAACTGCGTCCACAGACCCAGAAGCCTTAACGTAACCAGGGTCATGCTAATCATTTTAATAGATCTTAATTTGAGGAGGTATTATGAGTAAGCAATAAGGACTATTCCAGATAATTTATTGTGCTTACTCATAATGTTTTCTCACATGACAACGTATTAAAGTAAAGCCTACCTTGTACCTTTCATCTTGACAAGATGGCTTTTATGTCCAGATTGCCATTATAATTTTCACACTCTGCTGCTAACAAGTGTTTATGCCAGTGTCAGCAGTGTTTACACCAAAGTGCTGGTGCTAAATAGCTAAAGTGACTTGAAGATGATTTTAAAGTCTCTATCTGCTTTTAATTAAGATAAGTTTCTTATTTGGCTCTTCACTTTTAGCAAGTAAAATGATGAACAGCACCTAATATTATGGATATTCAATTCCAGTATCTTCCTGTATTTCTATTTTTTTAACAAATTCTACAAGAGTATGCTTTCTACCTACAGACTTGCATATTTTAATCCAATGCAAAAAAATTAAAAAAACAGGGAAACTGAAAGAACACAATCCCCTTCTCTATTCTCCTCTACTGAAATACGCAGTTTCTTTCCTCTCCTACACTATATTGAAAAAGCCAGCTTCAAAACTGTAGCCAAGATTTGTCCTGACTAGCTAAACTAATACAGCCAGTTCATTTGTCTGACACATTTCTTCTCTAACACAACATCCTTTGCTGAAATATTAAAGACCATATAAATTGATACATTGGAAAAAAACATTTTTAGTATTACTGTTTCTTACTTTTTGCCAAATTCGCTGAAGTCAGCCAAGAAAATAAGCTCTTTCACTTTCTGTACTTAGGGATGTTACCCTTCCTTTTTCTAATAGGGCACTGTGCAAGGGCTCAGAAGACCCATTCTCTTCCTGGCACTTCCAGACTTCTGCTGGACACTCTGTTCAAGGCTAACTTCCACCCCTCTCTGCCTCTCTTCTCCTCTCTGTAGAAAACAGAGTAAATAATAACCTCCCTGTAAAGCACTCTGAGGTACGCATCAATAAGAGCTACAGCAGCACTTGGTAATATCAAACAAAAATATGTCTTCAGTAAAATAAAAATTAGAAAAAAAAAAAAGCCATTGTTTCAATTGAAAACGGAGTGGATAGAAAGGAAATGGGTTTTGTTAGAACACACACGTTGGGCCCATAAAGCTCTGACACTGCTCACTTAAATAAGGCAGGTATCAAAGTCTTGAAAAATTTTTACCTTTAATTTTAGAGAATTGAGTTTTTCCTCCCTTAGATGCTCTCTTAACATCTCTCGGTGAAGCCTCTCCTGTTCCATCGCAAACTCTCCAAGCGTGTACTGGCGCACGCTGTTGTGGCGAGTAGACATTCCCAGTGTGCTTCCCCCCTGGCTGGGAACGCTGGTGAAACCTTGTCTTCTCGTGAAGTAATACACAGTAACACAGTTAAAATGGACATTTTTTGTTCTCTTCCGCTTCTCTCTCTTCAGGATCGAAGAAGCTAGAACAGATGCAGATTACAGTATGAATGATAACTTGCAGTTGTATAGCAAATTCATCACTTGTGTAGTTCCATTTACCTTAACAATACTTGACTATGTACACACTAAGTTCAGAGGTGTGCAATCTGAATGAGAAGATAACATTAGAAATATTTACCATAGATGCAAACCTGGAAGCCATTACAAACTGCTACAATCACGAACACTATTGTCTACTTTAGAACAGAAACTCTTGGCCAGGACAGTTGTGTTTTCCCACAGCATTATAAAAATGCTTTATCCTTTTACCAAGGAAGCAAATAAATCCCAGCAAAAGGATCTTCTTTCACAGTGTCACCTCAAAGACAGTGATCCACTGACTCGCTCCTCTTCAACCCCCTGCAAACAAAAAGCACATGACAGCAGTGAGGAGAACAGGGGACTCGGTCTCTCACAGGTCTATATACCCATTGCTAGTCTGTCAGCAAGGCTTAGATGTAGAGATCTGTAACTACATCTTTAAAGCACTGGAGCACACTGGCAGAAAAGATTCCTATCTCTTATAACCTAAAATGTGAGAAATTAGTGTGAGAAAAACTATAAAGACAATATGTTTGGTGCTTCAGACTCAGAAATTCACACCATCATCATCGTCACAGAATAATACAGGAATAATGCTGATTGTTAATGAGATCCACTTCCTTTTTCTTTACCTTCATCCTTCTTTCTGCTGCCATCCACTGAATACATGTGTGTTATATACATTCTAATGTATAGAATTTTGGCAAAAAAATTAAATCTATTCTTTTCTAATTCTTTTCTGAGTCCCCTCACACTTGTGCTCAGTTTTTCTTATACACATATGCAGTTATCATATGAAATGGATTTGTTTAAAAACAAATGCCAAATTTTAACTGTTAAACATTGCGCTTTTTTCTACAGACATTTAGTAACTCCTTCCAACGATACTGATCTATTGTTTCTCACTGTTAACAGTGGTGAGCCTTTAAAGAAGAAAAAAAAAAAAAAAAAAAGAGGCACAAACATTAGAGAAAGATAAGAGACACCCCTTGATTTTTAAGATGAGCAGCCTGATTTATTTGATTTAATGCAAAATGGCAATAGGATATTAAGAATGTAGATGATAAGTCATTGCTTTGCAGTTTAGAAGCAACAAATGGGCAGGTGTAAATGAGAGACCTAACTGCCAGAACTCGGGCAGTGAAAATGATTTAAAAGGTGCCTGACCACTCTTGAAAGACTTGGAACCATTCTATCAAAGCAGCAGGATGATGTACTCTGCTCATCTAAAACTGCACCATCTCTACAGTTTGGAAGTGCTTGACCTTCAGCCTTGGTTTCCTAACAGGTCTGGTTTGTTGTCATGGTTAAAACATAGTTCATTCTCTAATATTATGTAGTGAAATGTTAATCACCACAAATGTAAAAACCTCAAACTTTTACATGAAGTAATTCAGTCAAAAAAAATAGCATAAGCTACCTAACCATATGAAAAAAAAGTAGAAAGAAAATATAGTCCTGTATAGACAGTATGCCCTACTGACGTAATCATTAAGCTATTTGGGGATCCATAAAACATTGAAATAGTATTATTTTTCCTAAATACGGTGAATAACTCTATGTCATCTCTTCTACAGTACGGCTGGGAAGTAGTCAGAATATATTCATATTTATGAAAATGATGTTTAGAAGAACAGATCAGGCAGGAACTGCAAAAGATGACAGGATTTTATTTGACTACACAAAAGCATAGATTAGAGATGTCAGTGAGGGGACTAGAGAATTGTGACCACCTCAGTAACAAAGGACACAAAAGGAAACACAGTTGGCACTGTAAAGGGGCTGTGTTCTTCCTCCACTACACTTCCTGAAATCTCTGAGCGGAGGGCTGCCTTAATGTGATCTCAAAAGAATTATTATTAGATATTGAACAGGAACGTTGAATGTTTTCCAACATCAAGGACAAAGTGTTCTATAACTCATTCAGTACTTTTGCTTCAAGCCAACCAGAACTCAGATTCTCTGATCATCTTATCAAGAGTCAGGGGCATATGTTATTTTGCATGCACTGTACCTTAAATAGCATGTTCAAAGCAGTTGTAATTACTGCTAAGGACACTGCTTAGCCCAAGACAGAGCAGAAGGACATACAAAATACATATTTTTCTGATATATCAGAAAGCATGAACATATGCCTGGACAAAATTTACTGACATTCATCAATTAGTAAGCTCCTTTTGGAATAAGCAACACAGATTGTGCATGGCTTGCATGCCTCTTTGGAGTCAGTTTCAAAGGTTTTGCAGGGAAACAAAAGCTCATAACATAAAAATTTACCCAAAGAGTGTAAACAACACACTTTCCAGAAGAGATCTAGTAACTGCTTCCTTGCTTGGCCACTCTCAGGAAAATATTTATGTGCCATCTGCCTGTGCAACAAGTGGTATCAGTGGATGCCACTATCATCTGTTCTGCACAAAAACAGTGGTATGGACTCCAGGCAGAGTCTGCTAGGCAGAGATGTGTTGGTTTAGCATCTGCTGGACAAACACCATCAACAGGAATTAGAAGGTGGTTTTTCAAAATGAATGCCACCATCTTGGGTCGAGCAGTTCATGGCGAGCGAGGATGCCAGAGGGAAAAGGAATACTCATCATCACCTAAAATTGTCCTGTGGATCACACACAATCTTTAACACATTTATGTACCATTACAAGTCTGATATATTCCATGGAAGGAAAAAGAATTATTCCATTCTCAGGCATTTAAACAATTAATATAATTTTTAGTTTCATGTTTCAAGATTATGTGGAATTAAATATTTTTGACAGATACAATAAGTACTGTAATGCAAAAACATATATATCAATTATCAGAGGGAAAGATTACATTATTAAGAACATAACTACTGCTATGGAATTATCTCTTAGAAAAGAAGGTCTTCGGACATAGATATCTTCAAACAGCACTGTCAGAATTCCTCATCTGAAATAATATTAACTGCTGAAATTTTGATTTTTGGCATTGACATTGGAACGTCTCAGTTTCTGGCTTTGGCAGAGCAGAGCCCCAGTTAATAACGTGCTTGCAACTGGGCTGCCTCCTCACGGACTCAGGTCAGGTCCTGTGGGCTCAGCAGCTCCTTGCCATGCACAAGCAGCTGCTGCAGATTCAGGGCTGTAGCTGGACACAGCACAGCCCCATTCATGCAGGACTTGACCCAAGCCAACAGCCACAGCACAGGTCACCTGCACCACAGACTGTCTATGACAAAACTGGCAACTGTCTGTTAATAAAATTCCTAAAGGTGAGGCCAAAAGAACTAAAGGAAAACTTTTAACAGCAAACACTTGCTTAACCCAAGCACGGCTAACCTATCCTGGAAACACAACCTGCTCTTTGTGCTTACCCTTTTGCTATGGTTGTTCATCATCTGCCTGCACACGTACACAGCAGGATGTGTTTATTCATCTTTTTCTCAGTTATTAACCTCTCTCCCTCATAACAATCTTCTTTATCCACAGCAGTTAGAATTTATTTCATGACTACATATGATATTTCTGCCTTTTCTCTTTATGCACAATTCCTGGCTTATGCACTTCTCTAGCTACTGAACATACAAGGAATCTCAAAGGTTTCCAAAACGTAAGAACACCTCTATGACCTGCAGAATGGCACAATGCCAAAGTTTTTTATTATAGCCCTTCTGTTTTCAATGTTTCAATAAGGTCCTTTTTCAGTCGTTGACTGTCGTACAGAAAAGAGAGAATTGTTCAGCAGTCATTCAAGAAATTGAGATTTCAGTGATTTGTTCATAAGGCTACACACCGACATGAAACAAGCTTTGTCTCATTCGAGACAAGCTGTTTCTACACATTACCACCTCCCATGCTACTACCCCTCCAAATTACCCAGATTAAGGCTTGACTCAGTAAGCCTGTCTTACCTAACACGGGGAGATCAACTGTCAAAAGATTAAAAACAGAACATACAAACATCATTATGGGTGTTCCCAGAGGTGATAAATTATACACATAGTTGAGGACTATCTCCTACATTGGGACACTAAGTCATAGCTTTTATTACCATCAGTTTTATTAAATTTGTTTCAATTTAAAATGGTAACATTTTATCTATGAAAAAGCAGCTAACAGTAATGGCATACAAGATGGTTTAGCAGAAAGACTAAGTGGTCCTCAGATATTTTTTTTAAGCTTATAGGTACTTGATCAAATGCATTAAATGGCTTTTTCCACACACAGTGTGTCCTGTTTCTCTGCATGAAACAGGAGGCCCCACTAATTCCTTTTTCAACGATACTCTAAAAATAAAACTTTAAAGTCAAAACTGAAGAAACTGTCAATGTAAAAAAAAATAAAATACAGCTATCATGAAAATAACAATAACCTTAAAAAAATAAAACTGTTCTGTAAAATAGCTTCCACGGCTGCTGTTCTTTCTTGCTTACGCTGCTGTGTTGCATAAATCTCCATCACAATAACGATTAATGGGAGAAGGGCAAATATTACGAATAGCATTTGACAATAAAACTTCCCTGTCAGATTCATCCTGGCTAAAGTATGTTGTACAAAGTATTGATTTGTGCTGGAAATTCTGCCACCAAACAAACATAGCAAGTGAGGAAATACTTTCTGGGTTTGGAAAAAGACTCCTCAAAGAAGAGGGTAAGAAAAATGAGAACCATTCAAGTCACATGAGGTTAGAAAATAAAGAAGGGCCTTTATTCATCAATAGTTAATAAAAGAGAATGAAATAATTTATATGGCAGAAAAGTTTAAACATATGTCTAGAGGAATGCGTGAAGAGACAAGGGTGAAGAAAGATGTAGCAATAAACACATTGGTAACAAATCGCTGTCAATATTTTCATAATATATTTTAATGTCACTAGAATACTATGGTTAGAGTCTGTCTGCTCAGTGTTGTAGTTATATGGAAAAAAACCACCAAGTCCTGCTGCTAAGTTAGCTTCAAATAAT